AGATAATACAAACTTTATCAAATAAAAAAAAACGGTACTGGTTTTCGGAAGTTCCGAACTTTAAAATTATTATTTAAGATATCTGGTTAAATATAAATAAGATATTTATAATTTTGCATTACCTATATAATTTTAGATTTTAACAATATATTTTATTTTAATATAATATCAGACAGAAGCAAGGAAAATTAAATATATTCTGTTTTTCAAATGAAGAAAAAAAACAACTCAGAGCTTCAGACTTACAATTTACTCCGTAATAAGTTATAAAGTAATGCGAAAAACTCAATCCTAACGTAGAATCTTCGTATTCTACCTGATTATTTAATTTTATGCTTCATCTCCGTAAAGAATTCGCGCAAAGAATAATGTTTTGCATTCCTTAATTACCCATAAATCATTGAGTTTATGTGTTTCAAAGTTAACGAACGCTATAATTTCTTTACATTGTCTTCAACTAGACAATACCGAGCGTCTGAGAACGCTCCCAGGGAAAAAATGTGTTAAGTTTAAAAGAATGTCGCATTTTAGAGTATTTATAAGGTGGCGACCAATGTTTTGTTTTAAAAATTATATCACATTAGTTGAAACAAGAAACATTGTTTTGTTCAATTTGTTTGTCACTGTGATGTTAAAAAGGCTATAGAAGATGTAAAAGAGACGCAGTTAAAACTACATAAATATATATAGATTTGGACACTTATTCCAAGAAACATCTAAGGTACCAAAGGTTTGTTCACAATAACAAGTATTATGTTGTCACCATTTTTTCATGTTATATATATGGATATATAATCAACATATTTTTGTTATCTCTGATGCCTATTTACCGTTTTAGTTTGCGAAGACCTTTTTTTAGCAAATAATTATCCTCTAAGAACGCATTTTCCAGTCGGTCAAAATAGTACTAGTAATATCCATGATTCAAATCGTTGAGTTGAATGTTTTAATAATAAAGTGCTACAAATTCGGGGTACGAGCATTGGTATTTTGAAAACCGTAATAGATACGAACATGGTTAAATTGGCGCAAAGGGGGATGTTCTATGGGATGTTCGCCAACATGTTATCGACTGCTGAGTTTTTTGAAGAAAGAAAAGGAAGCGGAATGTATTTCTTACTTTGTGTTGTAAATATTGAAGTGTATTGATTTCACTTTTACAAATTACATCAAGGTATACCCCCAAAAGGAATATATCCCTTGGCGCCAGGCCCAGGAACCTCGCTGGCCATACTGCTCCGCCACTTCCAATGGATCCAAAGAAATGCTTCTAAAACCGACAGGGAAAAAATAAAATTAATTTTCAAAAAATCCGTTTTTTACAAATAACACAGCAATCCTTGATGCGTTTTTATCTTTTTTGATGGCATCTTAATGAACATCCCAAGGCGCAAATTTGCCCCAATTTAACCATGTTCGTATCTACACACACCGGAAAAATCTAGGGATATAATTTTATTAAAGTTAAAAATAAATGTTTTGAATAAACAACCACATATTTGTAGGCCGATTCTTTCTACTTCGATTGAAACGCAGTAGTCACACTAGTTATTTCTAAATTTGGGATATTTGCAGAAGTGTTTGTGCATTTTTTGTCAAACGTATAAAAAGCACCTAGCATCAATTGTTCGAATTTAACCTATACTGGCTATGTTTTTATGATAACTGGCCAGAATTCATTCAAATAACTCTGTTTAGTATTAAACGACATTATGGAGAACATCTTAACAGAGACGAAATGCTAAGGGCCATGGGTATGTTCGAAGCTGGAATGCGCTAAATTGACGTAGCTAGAGCATTAAATACAACGCAAAGTGTAATATCGCGATTAAGTACACGCTACCGTGAAAGTGGTGATGTTGCTGAAAGGCACACAGGGCGACATCGCATTACTACCCCTCAGCAAGATCATTTTTTACAATTAAATGCTCGACGCCGACCGACTCTTACAGCACCAGAGCTTAGTTTAATTCTCCAGGAAAGACATAATGTAACTGTTAGTCCTGACACTGTTCGCAATAGATTAAGAGAGGTCAACTTAAGAAGCAGACGCCCCTGGAGAGCTCAACCCTTAACGAGAGGAAATCGAGAGGTACGATATTTGTGGGCTCAAGATCATGTTCAGTGGTCGAATGAACATTGGGCCACAGTTCTCTTCACGGATGAGTCACGCTTTGGATTACATCCGGATTCGAGAAGGCTTAGGGTATGGAGAGAACCGGGAAATCTTATTCGGTTGGATCATGTTCAGGAAGTGCACCCTTATCAAGGTGGAACAGTTATGGTCTGGGGAGGAGTCCAGTTAGGCCGAAAAACCGATCTCGTTTTTCTTAAAAGGTTTCTAACAGGAATCACATGTCGTGATTTAATTCTTGAGCCTGTCTTGTTACCATATGCCAATGATTTTGGGAGAAACTTCATTCTCATGCATGACAATGCACGGCCTCATACAGCCAGAGTGGTAAGTGAGTTTATCAATGCTCATCAATTAAACATCTTACCCTGGCCGGCACAATCTCCTGACCTCAATCGAGCACGTATGGGACGCGGTCCAAAGAAGAATTTTGAGAATGGGTATGCCTCGTGAAACTCGTAGGGATCTGGTTCGGGCCGTGAACGCAGCGTGGCAGGCTGTACCTCAAGAAGAGATCGACAACCTGATCAGGAGCATGGAGAGACGATGTAGGGCTGTAATGAACAGTAGAGGAGGCCATACCCTTTATTAAGTAAAAATGGGTTTTATCTTTTTTTTTAATTCACAGTTTAGAATAAAAAAAAAATGTGTGTATTTTTTTGAGTTCAATAAAAATCAAGGTAAATTTGAAAAATTCGGTAAATTTCGCATTTTTATTTCCAATACGTCCTGTAAACTATTTGTTTATTTTCATTTTATTATATCAGAAATGCAAATAATAAAATTACTGACGATGGCTGGATAAAATTGTAATATCCCTAGACTTTTCCGGTGTGTGTATTACGGTTTCCGAGATGCCAATGCTCGTACCTCAAATTTGTAGCACCCTGTATTCAGTCAAACCGTTCTCAAGTAATGTGTTTACCAACGTACAGTACTTCATTTTTATTTACATAAATTCGTGTGCCATAGTCTTTGACTAATTACAACTTTATCAGCTAATTAGCGTTTTAATCGATGTGCTATAGAGAATATCAATTAAAACTCAACATACAATGCTTAATGATCGATCAATTAATTAAATTAACTTCATCAGTCTCCATTATTGAACTTAATCAACGACTTATTGTTCGCGCCAACTTAAACGCGTAACATTCCTCGATGGAGGAAGTGAAATTGAGACGCGGCTCACCAGAAATTAACTTCTGAAATACGAATCTCGGGCTTGGGTTGGTCAAGATATTTGTATAGCTGTAAATCTGGCGGTAATTCTTCCAAATATAAACGAAGATATCGATTAAATAAATTTATCAGGCAAAATAACTGTTTCGGAAGGACTAGAGACGGCTTCGGATTTTTCATTTGACGGCTTTACTTGAGTTTACATGTGTTTTACGTCCCGAACCTTAAAGTACAGTTAGATTTGACGATAAATTAATGAAAACTAATCTATAAAGTTTTGTTGGGTGTACGTTGTGATTATTTTTGATAGCGTCAGATTTGAGAAAGTGCATGCGAGCGCAACAGGTGGTCGAAAGATAAAATGTTCTTAAATATGTACGGAATAGTTATACGGGCTTACACGCCCATACGTAAAGCACACAATATTTAGCTTCTTCCTTCAATATTAATAGTATTTCATCTTTCATTCATTGAAAAATATTTTTAAATTTTTTATCTTCTAGATTGTATGGGAGGGGGAAAGTTAATCATCGCGACCTTATAGATCTACCGTATCCTCCTTTCTTGAGTTATAACTCGTCATAGAGTCTCAGGGTTTGACAAAAGCCAGTATCTGCGAGACGGTTTTAATTCTCCATCTCCGATATGAGTCGTACCATTGTTAAAGCATGAATGGTTGTCTTCTCGGCGCACTCAGTGATGAGGTGTTCTGGTGTTTCCTCATTTTCTCCACAGAATCTGCATTCCCCGTTGTTTCTTAGCTTCAATCTACTGATGAGCCAGCGTCCTGTTAAAAACTCCGTGACAATCTGAAGATTGTTCTTAGTTAAATCAAGGAAAATCTTTGATTTTTCTCAGTTTTAAGTTCTTCGAAATTTCTTCGAATGTCTATGACCGTTGGAGGATTCCCATTCCAGGTTACGGATGGAGTCTTCCAGGTTCTCGATTTCCGCTTTAAGTGGGTTTCCACTGGGGAAACAGAACAGTTCATGTCCATTTAGTGGAGTGTTCGCTCCTTTTCTAGTTAGATCGTTTGCTTTTTCATTGCATTCTATCCCTTGGTGGGTTTTGGCGCCCAGAGTCGAAGAACTTTATATTCTTTGCCTAATTTGTTCAGTTTCTCTAGGCATTCTTTGATCAACTTCGAAATGATGACTACTGAGTTGGTCGCTGTAAATGCTGCTCGACTCTCGGATAAGATGGTTATTTGTTGTTTCCGATAGTTCCTATCTAAGATAAGTTATACGCATTTTTTGATAGCATAGATTTCTGCCTGAAGGATGCTGGGACAGATGCCCACTCCTATCCCTGTTCCTGCTTTGGTTTTGGCAGCATCAATACTACGTTATGGTATGGCCTTTTAACTGCTGAGCAAACGTTTTCTTTTTTTTTGCTCAAAAATACAGTGTAGTACTAATCTCTTATCTTCTTATAGCATCGCCGATTTCGCAATCGTTTTTGTGGTTTAATAGAAAGAAAAATATTTACATAAATGTATAAAAATAAATAAACTTACATCTATTACACCTTGCTGTATATGATATAAAACGTTGCTTATTTTTTCATAATGTTTATTCTAAAATTAAAGAAGCTGACCTATATTATACACTTAATATATATTTAAACATGATTATAAATACTTGGCTTTTATATTTTTGTTAATTAATATTTTTTTTTGTTACAGCACCTGCATCACCTGAACAAAATGATGAGCAAAGCACAGAAATTGAATACTATCCTGGTAAGCTTGAATTTATGATTCTAGAGTCTAATTCTAAAGAATTTATGATTCTAGAGACAAATTAGCACTCTTTCGCTTTTTATAATCGTGATTATGCTTTTTCTTTCTAGTTGCTGACGCAACAGGTTGCTACTACAATTTTCAACACTACGACGAAGGAGATCGAATAATAACGAACGAACCATGTCTCAATTGTACATGTCACAATCGAATGCTAATGTGCTACTTGAGAGTATGTCCTTTTACCAAGGCTATTGGGGCAAACTGTAAAGTTGAAAATAGACCAGATCAGTGCTGTCCTGTAATAACTTGTCCTGAAGGTATGTAGATATTGTATTGCATGACAGGCAATGTTTTTATCTAACATTTTCTTTTCAGTCCCTGTTCATCTAGTCACTTCTACAGTTCCTTCAACTGCTGTAGGCCATTTAAATGAGTATGGGTGCACTATCGACAGTTTATTTTATTCTGACGGCGCTCGAGTACCTTCCGATCACGAAAACCCTTGCGAGCTTTGCTACTGCATTAGAAACAAAACTGCCTGTGTTATGCAAGAATGTACCTTAAACGTAGAAGGATGTAAGCCTGTATATCAAGAGGGTGTTTGCTGTCCAGTCAGATATAACTGCGGTAAGACATATTTATAACTATAAACACGTTTACTAGAATATCGGTTTATTTTCAGAACATCCTGACTACTTGGAGGGACCAACAACACCACAAATTACCACGACCAGTACGACCACCACAACAGTTGCCCCAACTACCACTCTACAACCATTTGAATGTATTTTCAACGGACAAGCCTATTCGGATGGAGAATTGGTCAAAAAGGATATCCCTTGTGAAAAGTGCTATTGTATGCGTGGTGATATTGTGTGCGCTGTGCAAGAATGTGGACCTACACCACTCGACAAAGTAAACTGTACAGCATTACCGGTGCGCGAAGGTCAATGTTGTCCTGATACATACGATTGCGCTGGAGTTATAGAAGAAGAATTAACAACTTTGTCTTCGACAACTAGTGAGTTTGAGCCTACTACTCCAGTAATTGTTACTGAAGAAGAACGGGTAACAGAGAAATTGTTAACTAGCACACCAGAAGAACAAACGGCAGTTCCAGAAATATCAACACAAGTTTCACCAATAGAAGAGGGACAGCATGAGGTGGCATCAGAAGAAGTCCCTATACTAGAAACAGAATCTCCCGAAATTATTACAGAAATTACAAGTAAACCGATTGAAACTTCTCAGCCAACTAAAGAAGCAGGTGAACAAACTACTCTACCACAATTTGAAACTAGAATAGAAGGAACAACAGAAAGTACTGAAGAAACAGAAAAGCCAATCGTTGAACACGTAACAGCTGTTGGAGTAGAGCCAGCAATAACAGAGGAAGAACGTGTTACAATTGTCACTGCCATTACACCTGAAGAAGATCTATCAAAACCAACTGAAAGTCCGGTAGAATCAATAACTAGTAGAATAAGTGAAACTATAGAGTCCATTACCACTCGTGTGACAGACACTATTGAAGCTATTACAACTGCTATTGCGGGTTCTAGTACTGAAAAACCTGAAATAGAAAGTGTAACTGATATAGTTAAAGCTGAAGAAGAGCCTACTGAAGTTACTCATGTGGAAGAAATAACTAAGTTACCGTCAGTTACTAAAGAATTTGCTTCGACTCAACAACCTGAAGATGAAACTGATAAAACTACTGTTATAATCCCTACAATAGAAAAAGAGATACCAGAAAGTAGCCCTAAAACATCCATTACAGATAAAGAATTTGAAACAACTGAAGGATCAGCTGAAGGACCAGTGACTGAAGAATATGAACACCCAACAACTTCATTATCGACTGAAGCGGAGGTGAAACTAACCGAACCATCTGTTCCAGAAGAATCTAAACCATTAGAAGAATTAACCACATCTATAGAATCTGTTACTACTGAAAAACAAATCTTAGATACTTCTGTTATAACTGAAGTTCCAAGTAGTTCATCAGAAGCGACAAGACCCTCAGAAATTACAGAAACACCAATTGAAGAAGAAAGTGCGCCAACTACAACAAGTCCAGAAGGTGTTACGGAAAAATCAGCTGAAAAAGATTTATCAGAGACTACTAAACCAACTGAGGCAACTATATCCATAGAAACTTCAACGCCTAAAGAAACAGCCGAGAACGCTACTTTATCTTTGTGTGTTGAAGGCGATTGTACAAGAGAGGGTGAATTATCAACAGAGAAAATTTCACAAGAAAATGCAGAGCAAGCTAAACTTCCGACGACCACTAAAACACCAGAACTTTCACAATCGGAGTCTACTGTTAGTGAAACTGAAAAAGCTCAACATACAACTGAACTTTACGAACCTACAACTGAGAAAGAGGAAGTTATTATTGTTACTGAAATACCTACACGTAAGACTGAACTTCCAGAATCAATGGATCATGTGTCTGAAACTGCCCTTTCTACTGAGAAACCAAAACCCGAAACTGAAAAAACAGAGTTGCCAGAATTACCAAGCCAAACCGAGAAAACGAATACACCTACAGAGACATCTGAAACAGAAACAAAAGCAAGTGTTACTGAAATACCAGCTTTACCAGAATATACAACGCAGGTTTCAGAAGGTGAAGAACGAATTAAAGTGGCTACGGAAGTTTCTACAGAAGATATTGAAAAAACACCTGATTCTGGTTTGCAAATTACAACTGAACTTCCTAAAGAAGAAGAAAATGAGATTGATCTTGATGATGTTGGTGTCAGGCATCATACTCCATCTGAAAGTATTACCGAAGCTGAAATACCAGAGACTACAAGATTACCCATCAAACATATTACCACTGAGAAGGTTTCCGAAGAACAAATTACAGAAGAGACTATTGTTCCAGAAGTTTGTACATCTGAAACGGAATGTGCTCCTGGTGGAGTGGCTCAAGTATCCAACATATCAAATATTGGAACAACTCCCCAAACTGAAATTCAAAGAACTGCTTTACCAGAAGGTACCACTGAGAGTAATAAAATTCCAGAAATTGAAGGGTTTACAAAAGAAAGTAACGAGATACCGGAAGTGGAAACTGAGGGTATTCTACCAGTTACTAGTGAGCCTGTTACTTCTGGTAAAGAGGAAGTACCCGAAGAAGGAAGTGGCACAACAGAACAAGAGCATGAAGTTAAAGGTACTGAAGGCGAACAAATTACAACAGTCGGTTATGACAGGTTTGCTACAGAACAAGGAGTGGTTACTGAAGAAGAGAAACCATCAGAACATGTTACAGAACAATCAACAGAATCAGAAACAAAAGCCGCTGCATTTACAGATATGCCTCAACAGACTGAAATTCCTGAAAGAGAAATTCCTGGAGAGGGCAATTGTTTGGTCGATGGAAAAACATATAAAAACAATAGCAGTGTGCCACCTATTAACCACTGTCAATCTTCTTGTATATGTGTAAGTTCAATTTTAAGATGTGAATCTATAGAATGCTTACCAGCACCAGAAGGTATGCAAAATTGCTTACCTGTATTTTCTAGCCCAGAAAGTTGTTGCCCAACATACAGCTGCAGTAAGTATACCCTTTGTATCTTGTATTTCATATTATACATATTTTTATTTTATTTCAGCGGGTCCTGAAGCAACTAGTCCAATGGAATCTGACAGTCATATAAAGACCACAACCCCAATAATAGAAGTTGCATCTACGACAAGCGAATATCCAGAAGGTACAGAAGAACCGGAATTCAGTACCACTAGCAAACATATAACAGAAGAGTCAGTTGTAACTGAAGGAGAAACTTTACCAAAAATAACTTCTAAACCAGTTAGTGAATCAACAGAAGAAAGTAAAGAGGCTACCGAAAGTCCAGCTACAGAAAGTCCCGAATCTTCGACAAGCTACATATTGACTACCGAAACACAAGAACATATAACCGAAGTACCTAAAACTCGCACTCCAGGACCTGAAGAAACACTTACAGAGGAACGAGTGACAACAATTCAAACTACTTTCGAACAATCGTCATCTTTCCCTCCAGAAGAGGCTGAGAAAACAATTACAACAGAATCAATTGAGCAATACGCTACAACTTCGGAATTGGGAGAAAAACCTGTTCATGAACCAGAGTTGCATGAAGATGGAATCACTGAAAAAACGGTAGAGAGTGCTACAGTTGCTGAATTACCAGGTGTGTCAGAAGTACCAGAAATAACCACTATTCCACCGCTTGACATTACAGAGACACCTGATTTAAGCTCAAAACTAAAAGGCGAAGAAACTCCACAAACTGCTGAAACTGAAAAACCAAGCGTAACAACTAAATTAGCTGAAAAACCTGAAGAGTATGAGACAACAACGCTAACAGAAGAACACACAGAACATACTGCCACTGTCACAAGCGGCGATATACTCCCAAGCGAACCAGCAGTCGAAAAAGATGTAGTTATTTCGGAACCTGAAGAAGAACGTACAGAAACACCCAAAGAAGGTGAAGCGATAAGTCCGTCTAGCAATATACCTGGTAAAGAACAGACTCAAGAATTCGAGACAACTACCCAACAGGCGCCATCAGAATTAGAAAAAGAAATTACTGAAGCCCCATCTTATCCAGAAGTACATACTGAAATTACAGAAATACCAAAAGAAGGCAAGCCAGTTAAACCAGAAAGCGAACTATCTGAAGAAGAAAAAGTACCTGAACAAGAATCATCTACAATTTCTATAGAGAACGTAGAAACAGATATAATACCCCACTCTACACCAGAGGAGCAAGTGACAGAAATATCTAAAGAAGGAGAGCCTGTAACTAAAACAACGGAACTGTCTGAGAAAGAAGAATCTAAAGACACATTTACTACACCTGTACCAGAAACGGAGGCCACTATGGAAACTGAAAAAATAATTGAGGAAGAAACAGTTCGCCCTATCCAGGTATCTCCTACGTCACAAACGTCAGTATCAACAGAACAACCTAGCGAGGCTGTCACTAAATCTATAGAGGCAGTCACTACACCCGAAATTATTCAGGAAGCCATTGAAAAAGAGTTAACTACTGTTGCATCTGTAACAGAAAAGTCTGAAAGTGAACAAGCCCCAACCACGTTACCTGCGATAACAGAAGAAACTGCGACAATTGTAGCTCAAACTGAGCAAATTACATTGAAATCTACTGAAATACACAAAGATGAAGAGAAACTAAAGACTACGCAACTTCCAGAAACAGAAACACAACCTGGAGTTATAGCAGAAGAGTTAACAACAAAATACTCTATATTCGAAGAACCTGTTACTAAAATAGAAGTAGAACAAACAAGTGAATCAGGTACAGAAGCTACCCGTGAATCTGAATTACACCCAGTTACTGAACCTATCGAAAAAGAACTAACTACAGTTCGTTCATTAATTGAACAGGCTACTGTAGGATCAGAAGTGAAACAAACTCTTGAACCTGAAACTACTTTAGTATCAGAAACGGAAATTACAGAAAAGGAAAAACTGACTCCATTTACAGAAATACCTAAAGTAACTGAATCATCTACTGAAGTAGAACAACCATTACAAACAACACCAGTGTCAGCAAAACTACCTGTAGATCATATAACTGAATTGCCGGAAACTGGAAGTGAAATACCAATTGAATCAGACTCTCATATCACTGAAAAGCTACCAATCGAGCCGACAGAAACTCCCAACATTACTAGTGTGACAGAAAAAGAAGCTGTTGAACAAACTGAAGTACCAGTAGAATTAACAAAAGCAACGATAGGGGTTTCGGGGACACAATTACCATCAGAGCGACCAGTTGAAGAAGAGATAGCAACAACCCTTGCTTCAATCGAACTAACCACTAAACAGATTGACATAGGCATAGAACACACAAGTAAACCCGAAAATGTTCCAACAATACCACCCGAAGGAGTAACAGAAAGTGCAGTTAATGAAACAACATCCGAATCTGCCACTGAAAAAGCAACAGAAATAGTACCCGAAGTAATAACAATTTCAAAACCAAAAGAATCCACTATTGAACCTGAACCAACCTTAACTGAATCTAGTACATTAGGTGTTGAGAAAGCTGAAACCATCACGGAGGTGACCGAGGTTCCTATAACAGAAAGCGAAATTAAAGCTTTTACAACTGAAAGAATTTCTGAGGGTATTACCGAACAACCAATTTCGCAGGAAAATCTAACCGAAGCTGAATTACAACCAGAACAAGCAACACAACATCCAGCTCTATCAGAATCAGTACCAAAAGCTGGTCAAATAACTACTGTACTACCATCGATAACAGAAGAAACTGAAATAAGTTCAGAAATTCCAGAGCTAGAAACAGAGAAAATTCCATTAGAGGGTGAAACAGGAAGACCAGCTGTTGGGCCTGAAGGGGAAACAACTGTACCTGCGGAAACAATAACACAAGCAACTGATGTGGAAACACAAACTATTGCAGAACGAATAGGAGACCATTCTTCTGAACAACCTGAAACGATAGAACCAGAAGTAACTTCTCCTGCTACTGTTAGTTCTGAAGAAACTGCATTGCCTGCATTTACTTCGCCCGAACTTTCGACGCCTACACCAGAGACAAAATCTAATGTATCACAATCCGCTGAAGATCTGTTTACTTCAGGTCCTGTAGAAGTTACAACAAGACGCCACATACCTGGGGAATTGTCTACATCTGCACCTATTGTTACAGAACCAACAACAGAATCCGTTATAGCTACTGAATCATCGCGTCCTACAATACCCGGCGAACAAGTTCCCGAGGCAGGAGACTATGATATTGGCGAAGAAGAGGAAGAAGAAGACCAAAGCGCGTTTGGTCCAGGAACGTGCAGATATGGTGGCAAAGTTTACGTTTCGGCGCAGCAAATACCACGTGATGATCCATGTGACTTCTGCTTCTGCTTTAGAAGCGATATCATTTGTTTACAACAAAGTTGTCCTCCTCCAATTCCCAGATGTCACGAAGAACCAATCAGAGGTTTTTGTTGTCCGAGATACGAATGTCCGGTGGCGCCAGTAACGGCTGTCAATTTTACTACTTCCACAACAACTACCACTACAACTTTACCTCCCCACTTCCTTTCACACGCATACAAAGGAAGAGCTACAAAAACAGGGTGCCAAATACAAGGAAAGGCTTACAAAGTAGGAGAAGTTATACGAGCGACGTCTGGTCCATGTCTACACTGCATGTAAGTATTTTAAGAAACCTTAAAACTTCAAAAAATTATTCATATACAGGGTGGTCCGAACTGTATTCTGGAAACTTCAGCAGCATATTCTGCAGATAAAAATAAGTAAAAAAGTTCGTATAAATGTATGTCCTAAAATGCTTCGTTTCGGAGATACAGGGTGTAGAAGTTTCATTTTTATTTCGATTTTTTCCAAATAAATTCTAAAGTAACGTCAATATTTGGATGAAAGTTGGTGCCTGGGAGTTTTTTGACATCAGAAATTGGATTTTGATGTCAATATGACTCCTATTTATAGAGGGCGCCATCTACATGTGTTTTAACTGTTTTGAACTGTAATAACTTTTTGTCCGTACCTGTATAAAACTACTGAGTGAAAAAATATACATTTACGACGTTTTATAAATAATGTCTCTTGGTAAAAAAATTTCACTTGGTAAAAATCGCTACGGGTAACCGTTTTCAAGATATTTAGAATGCAATACGTAATTTAATATGTCAATACATGTTACAATTGACGAAAAAAAAAACGTGTTGAGTTGATAGTTATTTAACTGAAATGATAAATTCGGGAACTTTTTTTTTAAATTAATCATAAATTTTTCTTCGAAAAAATGATGATAAAACAGTTTCTGTATAACTTTCGCAGAAAAATATTTCAAATTTATGATTTCAGACTAATAACTATTTAGTCAACCATGTTTAATTTATGTCAATGGTGACAGGTATTGATAATTTCGATTCCAAATATCTTGAGAACCATTACTAGTAGCGATTTACCAAGAAACCTTTGCGTAAAAAACGTCGTACATGGATATTTTTTACTCAGTAGCTTTATACAGGTACGGACGAAAAGTTATTACTCTTCAAACTTGTTAAAAATATGTAGGTGGCGCCCTCTACAAGTAGGAGTCATATTGGCATCAAATTCAAATTTCTCGTGTCAAAAAACTCCCAGACACCAAATTTCATTCAAATATCGATATTAGTTCAGACATTATTTGGAAAAAATCGAAATATAAATAAAATTTCTTAACCCTGTATCTCCAAAACTATATAAGCATTTTTGGACATACCAAACCAAACTAAGCATTTTAGGACAAACATTTATACGATTTTTTTTACTTATTTTTATCTGCAGAATATGCTGCCGACGTTTCCGGAATACAGTTCGGACCACCCTGTATAGTCAACATTTTCATTTAATTTTAATGTTATTCAGACATGTGAATAAGTCACTAATTTTGGTTTACTAAATCTATTTATTAAGTATTAAAATAAGATTTTAACTAAAAAAAATATTTCTACTTATGAAATTTGCTGTATGTTTGAAATAAATTTTCTTCTGCTTATACTAAAGTAATTTTATCTAAAATAAAGTTGAGATAGAAAGCTTTGGCGTTACAAGAGCAAAAATAAAATACTAAATGACTACAATACACCAAAACGCTTTTAATTTCTAAGAGTTCTCCTTCTATTAACCAACAGGTGATTACACTTATTAGTTTAAAAGTGTTTTGTTGTATTGTGATGAATTAATAATTTTTCTTACTTTTGCACTGTGTATTAAACTTGTGAAATGTTTTGCAGATGCGGTGGTGATGGCCAAATGAAATGTGATCCTAAACCCTGTAGTCCAGAACCAATGTTACGACAAATGATAGCAGCCGCAGCTTCAAGAAGGAGGAGATGAGAAGCTAATACCACCGTGTAAATTAGTGACATAAACTGCACGCAAGTGCAAAGTGATATAAAGACGTTTATTATTAAATGAATATAGTCTTGAACAATTTAAATGCATTCTCGGGTGCCAAAAAAAGGACAATTAATATATTGTGCCTTGATGTACGGACAATTCCTGCACAAGAGATGATCGTCTAGTCATTTATATGTAGAAAGGACGCTTAAAGGAGTAGGCAGCCATCTTTTGTGGGGTCATTGGACACGTTAATTATGTAAAAAATAGGGAAAACGGGAACTTATCTGTTAAAGAAATTTACCCTTTTAGTATAAACGAACAAAATTACCAATTATCGGCTCATTCTAGGTCAGTTACATGCTATACAGACATCCCATTCAGTATACATACTTAAAGAATACTTACGAATAATTTAAAAATGGGAGCCACTGTGTATAAATTGTATAAATTCGTTAGGACTTAGTAATTATAGGCAGTAACAGTCATAGATCACGAGGAGGGGGTAAGTTTCTTACAGAAATGCTCTGCAAGCCTCGTGACCTCAAAACCCAGTACGACATTGAGAGTGATGTAATTAGTATACTTGACAGAGAATTTACTCCTTAACGAAATATTATGACTGAAAAAAAATAAATTTTTACACTTTTTTAAATGTATATTTAGAATTTTTGGAGTGTCGTTGTATTTTTAAGCCAATCAAATGTAATTCTCGGGCTAGTAGATTTTTACAATATACATATATAAATCGTGTTGCGTATCCCGACTCATGTCTGAGTTGTTTGACCGGTAGAAAGACCCTCAATAATTAAAGTCACTTATAAAATGTAGCTTTAAATAATTTAATAATGAATTGTCAAAATATTTATTTCTGCTGCTTGAACGGTCAGACTGTCCTTTGTATATTATCGGATGCTCAATATCTTAGGTATAAATAGAATATGTAGTATTTATCGATAATAATAAATTGATTATGTAAATTAAATGGTTTTTTATTACCTTTATCCTCCAATACACGTAACTAAATATTTATAGTAGGTACATGATTTTTTTTACTAACCAATTTAAACTACAACTTTAATACATTTTATTAAATACCATTTTTCTTTCATGTCGTTCAGTTTATGAACTTCTTCTTTTCCGATCCCTATTTGACACTTAAATATACACCTAGTAACACTTAAAAATCGCAAAAATATTTGCATTTGTTTATTTGGACTAAATTCACCACCTCTAGTTTCCATTTTTGGCTCCATTTTGGATGGTTAGCTATCCACTCAACATTTTCTTCACTAAATCTATACAGACCGTGGTATTCTTCGGAACGACTTCCTTTTCTTTCAGGATAAAATTTAACAAATCTTATACTATTCATAAAAGCAGCCATTTCTGCCAAACTGTTTAACAATACTAAATTTCTTAGCCAGGGTTTAACAAGCTTGCAAGAATGTAAGCTTTTCCTTAATATTCTTAGTAACTGCTTACTTTTATTCACACCATTTTTAGACAATGCTAAAAACTTTAGCTTTTACCAATTGCATTTTTAGTAAAAGCTAATACTTATTTAGGGTTTATATACTCATAGAAGGGTTTATCGTAAGACTATAAAAGCTGCCGAGGACATTAGGACATTTATTATAATGGGAGGCTAGCCAAATCCGGTAATGTTGCTAAAGAGACTTGGGCTATTGTAAATGACTTAAGGAATAAGTCTTCTTCGTCTGGCACAGTCTTTAATTCACCTGAAGATTTAAACACTTACTCTGTTAATGTGGCTAAAAATTTAGTGAACACCATAACTCCTTCCCATGATTCACTTTCATATCTCCCTAAAGCAAAAGAGAATTTACACAGTTTCTTTTTCACGCCCGTAGCATTAGATGAGCTCCGTAGTACAATTAAAAGTATTAAAAATAGATTCTCATCTGGGACTGATGGGCTTACTCTTAAAATGTTCTCTGAACTTCCGGAATGCACATTAATCTATCTTACTACTTTAATTAATGAGTCATTCCAAAACGGAGTTTTTCCAATCTGCCTTAAGACAGCAATAATTATTCCTCTGCATAAAGGAGGAGATAAAGATCAAGCTTCGAACTATCGCCCAATTGCTCTCCTGCCCACATTATCTAAAATCATTGAAAGATTGGTTAAAAAAAGGCTTCTATCTTTTCTCCTTAAATATAAAGTACTTTCTACCCGTCAATTTGGATTTCTAAGTAACAGTTGCACAAATGATGCTATGTTCGACCTTTTTAATAATGTATACTCTAGCCTGAATAACCATCACTCTACAGCTACAATTTTCTGTGATTTCTCTAAGGCTTTCGACTGTGTAAATCATAATATCTTAATTAACAAATTGGAATACTATGGATTCAGGGGAGTGCCGCTCGAATGGCTTAAGTCGTATCTTGGCAACAGAAGGCAGCTTGTGAGGATTGATACGTCTATGTTTTCTTGTAAGCCTATAGAATGTGGTGTCCCTCAGGGTTCAGTACTTGACTCTATTTTATTTCTGGTGTTTATCAACGACATTGCAAATCTAGACATTAGTGGTAAAATCTGCCTCTTTGCGGACGATACTAGTTTCACTTGGAGCGGCCCAGATGTTACGGCACTATATAATACTATATCCAGTGACTTACGCACCATTAAATCTTGGTGCGATTCTAATCTCCTATGCCTCAACCTTTTAAAAACTAAAGTTTTGTCATATAAAAGTACTATACAACCTTTTGTACTTAATAACACCACTATTGACGTCGTGGACTCTGTGAGATTCTTAGGACTTGTTGTAGACTCGTTAAAATGGGACTTGCACATCGAAGCACATCAAAGCACTTGCACATCAAAGAAACTAAGCTCTGCCTGTTTTGCGCTAAGATCAGTTTCTAAGGAACTTAACTCATCAACCTCTTAGATGGTCTATTATGCCCTTTTTGAGTCGCATCTTCGTTATGCCCTTCCATTCTGGGGTACTTGCTGTGTGACAAAATTTGATCGTATTTTCAAACTTCAAAAGAGAGCAGTTCGATACTTATTGGGACTAAACAGTAGAACTCACTGCCAGAATGTCTTTAAAAATTTCAGAATACTGACTCTTCCTTCCTTATTCATTTTTGAATCCATTTGCTTAATCCGCAAGCACATATTCTCTATTCCGGAAAGGCCTTCTCACAACTATCCACTTAGGAATGCGGAGCACGATATTTATCTGCCAACCCCGAGCTCAGAACTAGTTAAGGGCTCAATACTGTACAATGCCAAGAAAATGTACAATCATTTGCATTCGAATATCAAGTCACTTTCATTCTTTCCCGCATTTCGCAAAGCTCTGAAATCATACTTACTGGAGAGAGCCCTAACGACTTTTTTGTTGCTGTTTAATCATGAACAATTTTGAATTTTAAAATTTTTATCATCTCACACACTGGTTAAAAGTCTAGTATTTAATATTTTATAACTCTTGATTTTATGATATATAACATGATTTTATCCATTTACAGTTTTCCTTTTGTAAAATTTTCTAGATACGCCTGTGTTCTGCAATGTCGATATATGTTTTATTTGTAATTTTATGATGTAAATTTTTTGAGTTGATTTGTATTGTATTACATTTTTTTTTATTATTCGTATATTTGTTTTTGTGCTTTTTTGTTTTGTGAATGCTTTGTCGATGAAGCTGTTTTGGCTTTATGTACAATAAAGCGTTGTTTTTTTTTAAATTTTATTCACTGTAAACTAAGCATTTGCTAGGAACTAGGAAACTGTAAGTTTTAGCTTTTACTAAATGTTTATTCACACTGCCCTTGCACACTGCCCATTAACATAATACACTTGATTTTCAAAATAAGAATAATGGAAGGTAAGAAAATTTAAAAATTTTCTACCAACGAAATCCTTCAAAAACTGAAAAAGTTTAATCAACTACACAGGGCGAGTTTCAGTTTTAAATAAGCGCAAATAGTTTTAGGGGTGGTATATTCCGACCCCAAAAACACGTCTATGAAGTTCTTTTCGCGAAAAAAGAAATCAGATTTTCAATTTTTTTTTGAATTTTTAGTTAAAAAACATATCTTGATATTATGGCAACATTGTTAATCTAAGATGGCAACATAGGTAGTAGATTACATTATTTACAATCGGAAAAACCAGAAAATAATCCAGTGGTTCTAAAATATACGCAAAATATCATTGTTCTTTAATTTTCAAAGTTAAAATAACTCTCTCGAACTAAAAAGGTTATTTTGAACTTATTTGAAAAACGGTAGAGAGAAAATATGTTACTTTTTATCGCGATCTACCAGCTCTGAAAATATTTGCACTTATTTAAGCATAGAGTGCCAAAAAGCTCACTATATGGATTTTTTATTATTTAGATACCTATTGACAAAAGTCAATGCCGAATTTAACATGCTCAATACACGATAACAAAAAAATTATTTTTACAATAGGTCTAAAGAAATAAATCAAAAATACCTATTTTTTCGTGATGAAAATGGCAAAACACGAAACAAATCTAATAAGAACAATTTCTTAAACAGTCATATGTTGAAATGATTTTGTAAAAACTAAAAATGTGTGTGTCGATTTTACACGATATACTTTTTGCAAAATGTCTGGCAACGATGGTAAAAACAAGCGAAGATGGCCATCTACTATGTCTGAACAAGCTGTGTGCCTGAACATAAAGTCACTTAAGATAACAATACGATCGAAAAAAAAATGGCGTCAAGGATCGCTGGGGAATGAAAATCGATGATAATTTTGGCGAGGTTAAGCCCTAGATATCATTTACTTGGCCCGTACTCTTCTTTGCTTATTAATGGCGCTTACCGCTGGCCTTAAGAAGATTAAATTCCAGAAAAAGATATTTTTTGGAAATATATATTTGTGTCTGGAAACGTTCTACTACGTTGTTATCCATATAGCATTAATTTTTGTCAAGGTTTATACCAATTATTAGTAAATGAGTTCTAAAGATTCACATCGTTAAAATCAAAGGTTAAAATTATCAACGATTGTAATAATATTCCCCAGCCGTCTTTGACGCCGTTTTTTTTCGATCATACGGTATAAGAAAAAGCATATACAAACAAATTTTGAAGATATAATTACTATTACTTTTAATTTATATAGGTACATGGCTATTATATGTCTTTTAATTATACATATTTCTTTTAAAGTAGGATGGGTAGACAGAATATTTCTCTCTCGAAAAAGATATATATTATTATCCTACAAGTTGGACTTACATGAGTAAATGACAACAGTCCGTTTTCATTATTACAGCAATTTCTTGATCAAAACACAATCACTAAGACTAAACACTGAATGTTTTAAAATTAGAATATGAACTCTGATATCAAATCGAAATTATTAAAAAGTAACCATGAAGTAACATTCAATGACACTTGATGTTCATTTTTTTTTGCTTAACTGAAATATGCCTAAGGTAACTAGCTATTTTATAATATGTTATAGTGTCAATTAATGGAGATTAATGCTATAAACAAATTCTTATATCATTCATTTCTTATATCAATCAATTTAAATAGAATAAAAAAACATCATTTCACCAAACGCTATAAATCAGTTCAATTCTTCTTTGTTGATTTAAAGAATTAGAGTAATAAACTAATAATAATTTAAATTATTTAAAATTTTATATAATTATTCCTGTACATACTCTATTTGACTATTTTCACAACTATTTTATAAAATGTAAACATGGAACCCCAGCCAGTCGAAATTAAAATTTTTGATAGAAAACCTTCACCATTATGTCAATATTTTTTCTTCATTGGATATTATAAGATCTTTTACAATGCAAAACATGATGCATTAAAATATTTAAGCTTTCAGTAACTCTTAACAAAATTTAAGTTATTAATTAACTTCATTTTTCATACAGAATGATGAAAATAAATAGAAAACTATAAATCATTTTAGTATTTAAATTTACCTCGCTTGATTTCCGGAAAAGTCAATTGTCAAAAGTCAAAAAATTCCACAATTAACCTCACTAAAATATTCAAAATGAGCCAAAATTTTAAAGTGTAATTTTTCAATTTGCCCTATTTATGATGTAGTATCACCCCATAACGTCATGTAACATCTATTTAGGTAATAACAATGAGTTTAAGATGCCTGTGTAAAAATATTAGTGGGGCACACATAAAGATTAATAACTTTTGGACAAATAAATATTCAACTATTAAAACTGCTGGTGTTTTGGGTAAATTTTTCAAATTGCTATATATGTTTACTTTATTTATACAGCTATTTACTTTTAGTTATAGGAGACGAAATACTGAAAGGTGAAGTTCCAGACACAAATTCAACCCTTATTGCCCAAGAACTACATAACTTTGGTTTAAAACTGAAGAAGGTTTGTTACTGTTGTAAATTAGATTATTATTACTCTGTTAATATTAATTTATACAAAACGTAACTTGTACTTTTAGATTACAGTTGTAGCTGACGATATCAATGATATATCGGAAGAAGTTCGGTATTTTTCTAAAAAGTATGATTATGTCTTAACCACCGGGGGTATTGGTCCTACCCACGACGATGTTACTTACGAAGGTATTTTAATTAGCCACTTTTCATGTTTTATGTATAAAGAGTTTATTTTTAGCTGTAGCATTAGCTTTTGATGTACCCCTTGTTTTGCATTCGGATTTAGAGAAAATATGTTCTAAATTTTTTAAGACTGTAGATCCAATGTCTCCAGGAATGAAACAAGCATATGTAAGATTATAGTTTGTTTTTATAGATTGGAAAGCTCAGAAATGTTAGTTGTAGGTACCAGAACAATCTGTCTTAAATTATGCCACAATATCTGGAGATAAATTGACTTTTCCAAATGTTTCAGTTCACAATGTGTTCATGTTTCCAGGAATACCAGAATTCCTTAAGAAAATAATTACAGAAGCTGGACCATTATTGTTTCGCTCAGATAAGAAATTCTTTACTAAATATTTGTATTGTAATTTGCCTGAATACAAAATAGCTAAAGAATTGGAGATACTCGTTCAAGAGTTTCCAGAGGTTCAGTTTGGATGTTATCCTAAAATATGTCATAGGTTGGAGAGAGGTATACAAATATTTATAAAATTAATGACATTAATTATTTTTGCAGTGCATATCAAGTGAAGGTTACAATAGAGTCCTGTTCTAATGTGTCAACAACAAAAGCATATTTAAGACTGTTGCAGCTTTTACCAAAAGAATATATTGTGAATGAGAGTGATATATGAAAGCAAATGTATATATCAAAATAATTTAATAATTCTAGTAAATATATAATTTCTATTTATTTAAATTTATTGAATTTCTTGTCTGCCTTTTATAATGATCGATCAATATTCTTTTGTACAATAATTATATATTTTAGAACATTCATGGAGTATATAATTATAACTTAAAGTCTAATCTTCGGTGGTCGCATATTTTTGTTTGCCCTACAGTACAAAATAATATACATTATAGAAATATAATTTTATTAATTTCAATCTTAATCACATCAGCATAAAATATATCTAAAATTCATATTTCATTATTTTAAAATACTCTTTTAAATTTCTATCACAGAAAATTCAGTTTTTACCTTTTCTTATTCTATTTACTACTAGTGTCATCTAACGACGATTTACTGAACTACGATGGAAAAACGTTTACTTTACCAGCTATGTGATTCCGGGTTTGGCTTCTATATTATAGAGGTCAGGAGCTAAACCAGTTTGATCTTTTTTGAAAAACGTATAATTTATTTTTGAAAAACGTTGGATAGTTTATAGAAAACTGAAAAATAATGTAATATTTAAATCAATTTATATCATACACATAGTTTCTAATAAGTGTTCTTATGTCATTTAGTTTTAGATTTTAATTTACTATACAGTATGTCCCTGGATTGCCGTTACAAGAGGAAAAACTTTTATATTATAGAAATTTTGAGAAAAATGCATTCTTCATTACAATTTTTGCTTGTTCTAAAATGGTTAGTCCCATTTACACTTTTCCAAATTTCCATACCCGTTTTAGAGAAAATTAAAAAAAGATGAATATATGGTTGAATTTTTTCTAACCCTTAAAAAATCCAAAGGCGTTTCTCTGGTAAATCAGGGTTGGACTGGCCATATACCCCAGCCTTTGCGTGCCCCCTCTGTCTTAAGATCTACATGTAATAAAATAGTTAAATTATTTATTTAAATAGAAATGAAATAGAAAAGTGACGGTAATATTCTGAGGTTATCCCAAAACTTTTCTTTTTCCATTGTATATTAGTTTGCATTGCATTACAGGTTGTTCACTGACTTCAAACACTAACAACAAATTAATAGGGAAAAACTGTCCAAAACTTAAGGTTAAACTTAAAAAATATGAATAAGAAAAAAAAGGGAAAAAATCCACCCGGGCCCCCCTGGCCTAGTCCGAGCCTGATGGTAATATATTTCGATTTCATTCTTTAAATAGATAGTTACAGATGATTATGTTATTAATTTTTACTAACGTCATCATATTCTTTGCTGTTGTTAGTATCTCCTTTTCAGATAATTATTATAACACGTATTATTTTAATACCCCAATTAAGTTTTGATGAGAAATATTAATCAAATTAATTTGGATGTTATATTAGTAATTAATGACAAATAAATCTTATAATAATTAACATATCCGTTAATTTAAACTATAATAATTATTATTGTAAACATTGAAAAACTTGTAAATTGTAACTAAATATGAATAAAATAATTGGCATAGAAATTTGAACACCCTGTATAGTTTAAGATTACGATATTTATAGCAAAATAAGTACAGACCAACAATAGTTAATATTTCTTGTATTTTTAATAATGTTTTTAAGAAAGACTAAAAACACTTGATGTAATATACAAAAGTATTTTTATGTTCCTTTTAAAAAAAGTCATCCCGATCCACCCACACTTTTTTGAACCGCCCTGTAGAAGTTTAAATATTTTCCTTTTATTATAGGAGCTACAGATGCCCGACGCAATGTTGCTGGGATCGTAGGAAAAACTTTGAACCGTGGCAATTAACCCCTACTTGCGGCAAGTTTTTGATAGGCAGCCTTATCATGTACAGAATAAAAATAGCCTTAATTTGACATATATATGAACAGAAATTTTTTATGAGCGTAATGTCGTCTCTAAAATCTGTTATTATTATTATTATTATTAATTAAACCTAGTTGCGGCAATTTTTTAATAGGCACCCTGTAAGAAGTGTACTCTCCTATTCATAAATATACGTAAAAATTAGGTTTTAATTAAAAATACGATGAGCGTTAATTAGGAAGCCGGATCTTAAGACTATAAAGGTGCGTCCAGACCTAACGAGATGAGAGCGAGATGAGGGCGAGACATTCCAAATTTGCTAAGTGTGGATGGGTCTCGTGAGACAATACACGGAGCCTCGTTGCTATCCGTCCTCTGTCGGTTTTTCGATGTCCGATCAAAGGAAGCTCGCGGCACAGTCTGTACGTGTTTTTGATAGGCTCGGTCGATTGCGAGATACTAGCACTGATTTATGAATTTCTACTATTTAAAATTAAATAATCTCAAATTTTTTAAATGGTACACCGTATGTATTATAATTTTTTCTGATAGAATTTACTAATTTGCGTCACTGATAATTTTTACGGTACCGAAATCTAACATTTCTTTAAACAAATTGAATTATTACAAAATTTATTAATTTTAGATATAATTATATGCAAAAAAAAGTTACCGAATTGTACGGAATCTAATAATAAAATAAAAAATAGGGTATTCCCATTAAAAAGCTCCTTAACCTTCCCTATAACCTTTCTTTTTAACAGTGTGTTGTAAAAAACGTTAAAAAAACGTATTTTGTAAAAGACGTCGCGTGTCGTGTCTCGAAACAAAAGGGTTAGGAGAAAACACCCAAAAGGGAAAAAACCGACGATAAATAAAATACGACGAACCAAATACCATGCTAAAGATACAAAAAAGTATTACTGTATCGGTTATTATTTAGCCATCGTTTGTTATATTCAATTACAAATTAATATGTGTTTGAGATCCTTTCACTATGATCCAACACGCTTGTCTCATGACAGGCTTGCCTCAAAAAATGGATAGAAGATGTCTCGCTCTCGTCTTGCTCTTGTCTCGTTGTTGTCTTGCTCTTGCCTCGCTCTTGTCTCACTCTCGTCTTGTTAGATCTGGACGCACCTTAAGAATAATTTAAAATATTTAAACTCCACCTCTACTAACAAAATTCAATTTTATTATACACATAACTTCACGCAAAGAATTACACGCTTTAATAAAAGCCCTGCATATATATTTTAAATGTAGCTATTCTTTATACCTACGGGTATAAATTACCCAGATATGAATTCTCGCACTGTACAACTCACTCATTTCATTTCTTTTTTTCCTCATTCGTGCTTCTCTTTGATGTATCGCATTTAATATAAATGAAAAAAGGTAAAATATGAAACAAAGAGGAAAATCCATTTGGAATATCAGAGTATCCAATCTATTTTAATCTGTATCAAGTAATTCTCTCAGGTCCACTTTCAGAAAAATGAAGGCATTCCCAAATAAATGAAATGTTTTCCTTCGGGAGATGTGTTTACATTATTTAGTGGGGACATTCAAGACGGAGCCAGAATGGATATTGAGTCTGTCCAGAATTAACTATATAAATGTTATTTTTCGGAGAACTATACATTTTAGTTTAGTATTATGAGAAAAAGAACAAACGGGAGGTTTTATATTTTCATTCAACTATAATAATATATTGATTTAAAATGTTCCAGAATGTCACATATAGATCAAACTTTGTCATACCATAAAAAATGACGAAAAATGAATAATAATGACCAGGGTGCCAAATATTCCGTGGACATACAGGGTGACCCAGGCTGAGCGTGCATTAGAAGTTTCTAGAGAACCACAATATCTAGATCGGAGATTTTTTGCACATCATTGTTTCACAACGAGATCTAGTAGTTTATAGTATAGTATTTACCCCCGTAGTTTATAAATATTTTCCTCAACCGACCACAGATTTGTACTAAAATTTATGTAGGGGTGGGGGTAATTTTCACCATTCCCGTACTTTTTCTTGATTTTTGTGAAAGTAAAATGGTTAAAGCATTTAGCAAAACATAAGTATCCCAAATCTCTTACAAATCCTAATAACGCTTTTTAAAATATCTCAAAAAATGTGTTTATTTTTTTAAAGCTTGATGCCTTCTAACGAACATACGAAGAACTTTTGTATACAGGTAAATTGTGTCCAATGAACTTATTTTGGTTCCAAAAATACGTAGTAGTTGTATGTCCACAGAATATTGGGACACCCTGTATATAATCATAAGTTTATATGGAGTAGTATAAATAATTATTGTAAATTAAATACATAGATAAGGGATATAAGAAACTTTAAATGTATATTCGACTATACTAACTCTCCTACATGAATACTACTACAAAGTCAATAATAGATTTATGTGATTAATATAATTAGATCTGTATAGGGGCCGAGATAGAGAGGAGATGGGTGGCCGATCCCTTGTTATAAGCCGTCAGATTAAAGGCAAACAACTGGGATAGTGATCGACCAACCATTTGCTAAAGATTGAATAGGAATATTGTTGTCATGTTAATGACGTTGATCAACATTGTTAGTTTCGCTTATGGATTCGAATACAGTCGAGTTTGGATCGGTTTATGTAAGCTGTAAGCGATTTCGATATTTGATAGCGGGAGGTTAGTAAAATAATTATTCATTTCTACTGGTTGGTAAAAGTTGTATAGATTTTGAGGTAAAGCAAAAACTTACGTTGACGCCAAATTTAATATTTTATATGACACCTACATTGTAGGGAGCAAAACCTACATATTTTTAATTAGTTTGAAGAGTTTTCGTCTGTACCTGAATAAAACTAATGAGTGAAAAAATATACATTTTCGCCATTTTTTACGCCAAAAATTCCTCTCGGTAAAAATCGCTACGACTAACTGTTCTCAAAACATTTGAATTAAAAAATAAAATTAAGTAAATTATCATGTTGTTATTGACAAAAAATAAACATGTTGACTAGATAGTTATTTAACCGAAATGACAAATCTCATCAACTTCTAATTTTTTAAATTAATCATAATTCTTTTCAGAAAAAATTATGATGAAATAGTTTTTGTTGGATCTTTGGCACAAAAATATTTCAAATTTTAGTCAAATCTTGTTAATATGTTCAATTCTTGTTAATGACATTCTTGTTGACATGTATTGGTTATTTCGATTTCAAATATCTAAAACCATTAG